GCATTCTTGTCGAAGTGGCTCAAGCTCCCAAAACGTAGATGTTATCGGATAAATTATCTTTAATTATTTTCATGCCAAAGATCAAAGAATTCTGGTAAATTCCAAATAGCCTATTAAAAAGTAGTAACTATAGCTTCGATTGCATCTTTCTTAAACCGAGAGACCATCAGTGATTCGATACAATCAAACACTTTAGAAAGCGATTGTAAAACAAGCAACTAACAACCACACCACCCAACAACATGATGCCAAAGTTGAAGTGAGAGCTCATATGAAAAAAATGATATTTAAGACTAATCATGTGAATTTCGAAGCTTCAAGCAAACCTGCCTAAGAGTAAGCATCAAACTTGTCAACGTAACTTTCAATTAAGTTTATGACATTAAAATTTGCTCATGTAGTGGTGAAGTCGACACACATAAGTATTTAATTCTTTCCATTGACTTGATGTATTATTCTATATCTTTAGACATTATAACCAAGAATCATACAATAATCTACATATCGTTGACGACTCTTGGATCCTAATGCAAGTTATGAGATCTCTATTTTGTGTAAGAGGTCTTGTTTGATGAAGCAGGGTTTGTAGTGGAGATCAGGATACCAACTTGGATCGTGAGAATACTTTCCGAACTGATATTTCTACCCTATGTCTGGGTTACAAGAAATTCAGTCTAGGATAATCCAAGTTGACACTTACGATTCTAGGCACAGAAATCGTAAGCCAAATTGCTAGAAAGATTCTGTGAGAGTTTGAAGAAAACAAGAGCTAATATTCGGGTGTCTCTTCTCAAGAGGAAGAGTCGTTTATATAATAAACGAGATTAGGGTTTCATTAGGGTTTGGCCGTCATTAGTTGTTTTGGAAGCAAGTCAGGGTAATCCGGATTTTAATGAGGATTTAGGGTTACCAAAACTAACGAGTTTCGTTAGTTTTACCATAATCACCCTCAAGAATTTGAATTTCCCACTATGTTCCCATATGTAAAATCCGGATTTTAGCGGGGCCCCAGCCAGGGACTCTGCCCCTTGGACCCCGCTAAGGGCGCTGCCCCTAGACCTCGCCAAAGGGGTGCTGCCCCTAGACCCCGCCAAAGGGGCGCCGCCCCTTTGGAAATCCCGAACCCAGGGGCGCTGCCCCCGGACCCCCGACTTGTCGTCGAACCGTCTCCTAATTTGATCTTATACATGCGTGCACTCCGCACCAACCCGTACATATATTATAGTACAAATTATGAAGCCTTTTAGCTCACATGTTAGTTCCAGTTACATAAAATGACATGGTGACACTAAAATCACCAACAGGTCTCATATATATTTAAACTAAGAAACTAAGTCAAATCCAGTGTTGTAAACAAGATTGTGTTTTCTGACCTCAAAGCATACCACTTCATCTTCTAATGCTGGTTGTGATGTAAATGGCAATAGCGGATTGTCATGACTATAAAAAAACAACAATTTCAAATACTACGGCATTAAAATGCAATTTTAATGTAAAAAATAACCATTTCGAATATAGTTTTGAACTTGTAGACACCCGATAACAATAGACTAATCTAAATTAATAGTTTTTTGCAAGGCTTGACCCACTCTTTGAGAGCTCTATCCATTTTTATTTTTTACTTTTAGCACCCTATGTAACATCCTTAACCTCACATTTGGCTTTGGTGGTGTAGGTTTCGATTGTATTTACTCAACCATGGTTTCGATTGTATTTACTCAACCATGGTGCTTATCCTTGTAAACATTTCGGAAACTATTTTAATTTAAATTCTAACTACAAAACATGTACACTCAAAGTGTATAACTAACATGGTTGACGGTAATGTACTCTAACTACAAATCCAAACTTCATTTTATCGAAATCTTTAAGAGAATCCAAAATATTGTTCCGGGATGTGGTAGTACCACATTTCAAATTCTCTTTAAATATAAGACCGCATAAACAAATAGAAACCGTTCGCATTCGGGTTCAAAATGCACAATTCCGAAGTTGGGGGGTCATTTTTGTGAATTGCAATTATTTTGGTTATTTACTATAATCCTATAAAAACATATGCTTACTGTTTTGAATATCCCATGTTTATTTGACTAAATTTATGAGTCATTAATTGTTATTTGATTTTAATATGTGGAAACAATTGATGGTGGTTCATATTGTTTTAGGTTTTACATAAAAAATACCATTTCATAGTCAAACATGGTGACATAAACACATAAATTTATTAATTTAACAATATAAAAATGCACTATATGCCAAATCTAACCAAAGGTATTTGTACTAGTCTCATAACTGTAGATCCGTTATTATTCATACCAACTGATAAATACTCACAATAATACATTTATGCCGACGGACAAGTCTACATGGAGATTTTCACCAAAGTTTTGATTAGAAACAAAGTCACCCTTGAATTATTAAAACTACACAAAAGCCCCTCAAGTTTCCTCTTTTGCAATTTAAAACGGACCAGGAAAGAAAATCCCTCATGGCATCCATTTACGCAAAATCTTCAAAGCATTATCACATGAGTGTTCACAACAATAAACTCTTATATCCCCTTAGATCTATTGAAATTCTGATTTTTATGATAACAATTCATGGAGAAAATGCCACCAAATGAATTAAGATTTAAAATGTTATTTTTAAATAAAAGATGTGTTTTATTGTACAAATGATAAAACCTAAAGATTACATATAAACAAGTCCCCATAGATCTATTTCATGGTCATAATTGAAAGCGTCAAGTTGGTTTTTTGTTGATTGTCTTTGACCCCTCACCTACTTTGTTTATTTAGCATCTTCTTCGTACTTCCAACTTGTGCATAGTTTTCTTCCCAAAACACTAAGAAAAGAAAACAAAAGAGAGCCATGGGAAAAAAGCTTGATGCGCTACTTGGCCGGAAATTTAAAACCTCTAAGCTTAAAACCACCCTAAACCTTGCCATCCCCCGCCTCTCACAACTCAAAAAGCATCGCCTTGCAAGGTTTACCATCGCCCGCTCCGATGTCATCCAACTCCTCCGCCTTAACCACCACCAACAAGCCCTCCTTCGGGTATATTTTATCTGTCTATCTATTTATCCATCTGTCTATCTATCCATCTATTTGATTATAACGAACATGGTTTTCATAAAAGTTTCAAAGTTTTTATGTAATGGTGTAATTGTGATAGGTTGAGCAAGTGATCAAGGACCAAAACATGTTGGATGTGTATGACATGATACATGGCTATTGCAATCTCCTCATACAAAGGATCAACCTCATAGAACAAGTCAAGTAAGTTGTTTTTTTTTTCTTTCTATTTTCTCACTTTTTATAAACAAAAGAATGATGTTTTACTTACTTTTAAAACTTTTTGTTTTTTTAGTGAATGTCCAAAAGAATTGGAAGAGGCAGTATCAAATCTATTATACGGGGCTCCAAGATGTGGGGAGTTTCCGGAACTTCAAGAGATTCGTGCGATTTTAACAAGCCGTTTTGGAAAGGAATTTGCTGATGATGCTAGCGAGTTACGAAGAAACTGTGGAGTTAGTCAAACTGTAAGATTTTTATATTAAAAAAATGATAATCGTTTTTTTATATAATACAAAGGTTTTGTTACTTTAATAACTAATTAAAGAATGTTAATTTTATTGTTTTAGATGATACAAAAACTGTCACCCGCACAATCGACTTTGGATTGCAGAATGAAGATACTTACAGATATTGCCAAAGAGAATGGTATAATTTTGCAACTAGATTTATCTTCTTCCGAAATACGAAAGGTTTGTAGAGAAATGTAATTAAATTAATAAATTTCATAAGAAAAAATGTTAAAATTCGAATCTATTGTTGCAGGAGAAAGTGGTGGAGAAAAAGAAAATTGAAAAGAAAATGAGTTTCTCTGAGTCAAAAAATTATAAAGATGCAACGGATGCAGCACAAGATGCATTTGAATCAGCGGCTTATGCTGCAATTGCCGCCAGAGCAGCGGTGGAACTTGCTCGCTCAGAGTCATTTGTTTCTGATAGTTCAGATTCAAATTCAGACGGAAATGAATCATTTCATTCCGCTAAAGATTATATTACTTCACAAGGACAACAAGTAAACTTAGAAAATAAGTTAAATTCTACAAAGATCAAAAGATTGTATAGGCAATAACTGGTGGAAGTAGCTTATTGTTTTTTTAAGGTTTCTTTCATTTATGGTGTAAAATTAAATGCTTTTGGTATCTAAAAGTTTGTATTTTAGCTATTCGACTCTTGTATATAGGAAATTTTACAATTTGGTATTTTGTTGAAATTCGGGATATTTTGTAGAGCTTGAAATATTCAACATTGCATTATTATTATTATTATTATTATTATTATTATTATTATTATTATTATTTAGGTTTATAATATTTAATTTTTCATCAAGACAATAAAACAAGATACATAAATCCAATACTATAAAAGTTAAATTCAAAACCAAAACTGAAATTATGTACGTAATTTATCTTTCATATTTAAATATATATTAGTTTGTTTATACTCAATAAAAGACAAGGACATTTGATCGGGTCTTTTTCCAATACTCTTATGACCATAATTTTGCATTTTGATCTTATCTTCGAGACACAAAGGAATCAATACAAGGAGCAAAATTTTGCAGAAATGGTCCCTGTGGTTTGCTTAGAATCGCAAGTTTGGTCCAATCTTAAAAAAGTTGATATAGATCATGTCTTTGTGGTTTAAAAAATTTACAGTTTTGGTCCCTAGTCCATATCAAAAGACTATTTTACCCTTTAAAATTGAATTAGTGTTAGGAATGGAACCCGCTGTCAGTTTCTGAAGGGGTCCAATCTTTTTAAAGTTGATAGATCATGTCCTTGTGCTTTCAAAAAATGGCAGTTTTGGTCCCTGGCCAATATCACCACTGCAATGTAGGAATAAGTGGACTACAAGATTGAAAATGAACAAAAAGGGGTTTCAAACTTTTAATATAAAATGTTTACTCTTTTCTGTGTTTTTCAAATTATCCTGGGGACCATTTATATATTTATATAATACTAAATGTCAAAAAGTCAAGATCATTAACAAATAACAATTAACAATACTAACAAAACTACTAATTTATAAATCTGATTACCTCATAAGCATGCAATACTGGATAGGATATTAGCCTCTAAGACGTTTCTTTCCATGTGGCATTAAAGTAGAATATGTCTGCAAACTCACACCAATATCTTCATCATATTCAACACCAAGTTCCTCCTACACAAAAATAAAAACCACATTAATAAATAATATTTAGGCTATTATTTAATATCTATATTTTTTAAAGAAACAAAACCTTGAATTCGTTTGGGGTTTTGGGTGAATTTTCAGTAATTGTATCCCACACATCTTTAAACATTCTCTTCCTTTTTCTCCAATGACTTATTGCATCTGAGAAAGTTTTCTCAACAGCTTTTCGTTCTTCTGGACTCACTAAAGTTACCCCTCCCCGTAATTTTGCCAATCTTTCTTCCATTTCTTTAACCTAATACAATTATAAGTATTAAAATCCAAATTTATATAAAAGTTTATCGGATAAGAAAAAGGTCAAATTAGTCATTTAAAGAAAACCTGGTTTCTTAGTTTTTTATCATTGGAAAGTATCTCTTCCAGTGTTAAGTTTGACTGCAAAGACTTTATTTCTGCAATAAAAAAGATTATCATGTAAATTAAATATACCAAATTATTAATTTAGAAGGTGTGGAATTGGAAAGATAAAAGATTACCTCCTTCAAGCTGACTGTTTGCTTTCTTTTGTTCTTCCAAGATTTGTTGTAATTTGGAATTTTCTTCCTTCATTTGATTAAGTTCTTCAGTGTTTGGAATCTGAAACTGATCTTGCCTAGCAAGGTATATTTTCTGTTTTCCATATTCTTTAAATGTTATTTTTCCACTATCAGCAAGAGTGTCAAGAGCTTTCTGTATTGCAGTCTTTTTCAGGTTGAATTTTTGCAAGAAATCAGCAACAGTTTGAGAGTTCAGTGGTCTATTTTGCTGTAGAAATCAACATCATAAAAAGATATGAGAGAAAGAATCAAGAAATCAACATAACAGTTTGAGAGTTCAGTAGTCTATCATTTCATCAGTCAATGCTATCCTATTTTAAATGCCCTTTTGAACAATTCTTTTGGATATTCTCATAGATTCTTACATGTGATGTGACACGGTTGAAATGCAAATTGTCAATTCATAGAGTTCCAATGTTAACAAAATTACACTGATATCAGACCTTAGTTTGCATAAACTATATTGACCAAATTGGATTATCCATTTAGATAACTTTTTCCTTGAGTCTGTACGTTAATGCCCTTGAAGCTAGGAAAGTAAAATGGTTAAACATCAAATTCATGTAGGGAAAACGCCTTGTATTTTATATGAAACGGATCTACAAGCTAGATTGAAGAAATCTTAATTGATATCATCTAAAACAAACTTGTGAAACACTGCCATGTTTGCAGTTCTGAACGTTAATGGAAAACATGATTATGTATTCATGTCCACTATTGTAAATGGTTCTTCGCAATCTAGAAGAACATCTATGCATCAAAAGATCATGACAAATCACAAAAATGTTGTAGCTAGAAAAATTCAACCGATAGTATAATATATCCGCAATACTTGCACCTCATGTCAGAAAGTTGAAGATATCCATATGGAAACTAAAACATTTTGTGTTAGTTGCAAAAGCTCTGAAGCAATTGTAAGGGAAAATACTTATTTTAGAACATGCAGATTGAAGGGATCCGTTGCAGTGCTTATAAAAACCTCGATTAACGAAGTTGTAGCTACAAAAATTAAGCTCGGATATTGAATTTTACCTCGTTGACGAAGTTAAGCACGATTCCTGCAAATTATACAACGGCGCAGGGTTTAAAAACAAATGGATGAAAATATGAACTCGAAGATTGAATTAAAAGAGATGAGATGTAATTAACCTTCGGCACTATCAGATTTGGGAGCCATCGGATCGATGTAGGGTTTAGAGTTTAGAGTATCGAAGAAGATGGAATAGCGCGGGAAAGTTTTTTGGGACACCTTAAATAGCACATCCGAAAATGGAAATGAAGGCGATATGGATTCGGGTGGATGGGGCTCCAAGGATGGAAACCATTTCTTCTAGGGTACACTGATTTTTTATTTATTTTTATTTTTTTATTGTTTGTTAGGACATGACTTTTTTTTTTTTTTTGAACAGCGGGGGTTAGTGATTAGCAGTTAATGGCACGGAATTGTTCACGTCAGAGTTAGAACTCGAGACCTCCAATCTAAGAGGCAAAGTCTCTACCAAGTGGACTAGTCCCACATTGGCTTGTTCGGACATTACTTGTTTTTATTGCAACTAAAATATTATTTTTCTACAATAATAAATTTTTTTATATAATAAAAATTAGTTATTATCGGGATGGCAAATAGACAACAATATGAAATTTGATGAAGTATTTATGTATATGAATCAAAATAAGTGGGATAGTAAGTGTTTCATCAAATTTCATATTTTAAATAGTTTATGGAAAATATCAAATATTCTAATTAATTATGCTTGTTGTCTTAAATTAGTCATGAGAAAAAAAAAATTAAGTTCTTATGACATATCATAAAAAATTTACCGGTTAGATTAAGTATTTGTGTTCTTGTTTTATTGGTCAATAAACTGTTTTGGTGCACTTTAGATCATCTTCAAGGCTACAACTAAAAATTACCGTATTTTTGTATAAAAATTCCAGAAAAATTATTTTTATCTCCAACTCCATACTAAACTTTACATAAAAACATAATTTAATATTATAATATTTATAAAATAATCTTATTTTTTATATTATATGATTTCATTATGATTATTATAATATATAATTTATTAATAATAATAGCATTAATTGATTAAATAATTAAATTTACAATATAAATATGGTGAAAATTAAAATTTAAAAATAAATTGAAAATATATAAACTATAAATAATAAAAGAAAAAAAAACATTAAATATAACATTAATATAAATTAGTTGTGTGAGTTAGTATGTTCATTCCACAAATATTAATTTAATGCATTTCAAAGTTCGTTATAAGCGTCCTTATCTTTGATGTTTTTATGTCGAATAAGAAATTCTTGAAATCGTACATCAATATCAACCACCATTTTAAACTCAATAGTTGGCATTTCACTTAGTTCTTCGATTGTTGCACTAACAACACGTTCATCTTTAATGATCATATTATGCATAAGGACACAAGTTGTCATTATATCATGCAATATTTATTTTCTCCATAAACGTGCAGTCGTACAAGTCCTGCAACAATTGTAAAACGTGATTGCAATACGGCAAAAATACGTTCTACATGATTCTTGTTTCATTGCAAAAAAAAATTTATTTGGGCCACGTAGATCATGAATAGTCGGAAGAGTATCCCATTTTGGATATATTTCGTCTGCTAAATAATAGCACATACCATTAGATTGATGGTATAAATAGGAGCATGTATATTACCTTCAATAAGATTGGCAAAAAGATCTGATGTCTCACGCACATTTATACCATTATTTGATACTAGTATACCACAATATGCATGTCATATCCAAATATCATAATCAGTTACTGTTTCACGAATAATATTCACACATCCACTACCCAACCCAAAGTCGTTGGACAATTCTTCCACTTCAAATGCATACAATCTAAACTGACCAACATTCTTAGGTCACCTCGTTGATCAAACAAAAATCTTATTAGCGCAAAATCCAAACTACAAGAAATGTTTTGTATTTGGACATGTGTGGAACATCCTCAAAGGTGTTGGAAAATTCATTGATGCCACTCCAACCCCAAGTACCGAAAAGGTGGTAATTTCTCTCGTTCTCAATCATCGTCATTTGCATCAAATATACTATCTTTGGATCTTAACGACAACGTAGATGTTAATCTTACCGAAATACCTATTGGTGTGAAAAAAAAAACAAAAAGCAGATCTTCATAATGATTAAAATATACATAATATATTGGAACCCAACAAAAAAATGCATGAAGTCTTAAGGATCGGAAATGAAATCACTTTAAAAAACCTTGAAGCTAAAAAAAATCAGGTAACAAATGAAAAAATCGTTTGGTAACATGACAAGTAGGAAAAACAATTATTTAACGATTTAAATAATATTTTTTATCCTAAGTTTCATGAGTATATTCAAAATGAGAAAAAACGAATAATGAGGAACAGACAAAAGAATATCAACAAGATGAACACGGTTAAAGATCTCAATGCCAACCACATCAATACTCATTTTAGCCTTCCAGGATGCGCTATCTTGATGCATTCTAGGTGGAGTAAATGTGTTCCATATATGTGTTGGTCCTTCTAAACGTGCTCTTGATGATGTCGAATGCGTTCTCAACAGCTCAAGAATGCACTATAGCATGGTAAATGAACTTCTTGCTTATGAATGTGTTGGTATAACCATTTTAGGAAGATGTTTGATTGTGCCAATGTGCACGGCATGTTTACATTCACATTCCCTCAATGTTGAGGATTCTAGAAGCGGTTCCATGGTGTCTTGTGATTGGTTGACATCCATTTTGGCGTAAGAATGGATGAGCCTAACGTAGATGCCTTTTATGGAGGATGCTCATTTTATAAATAGGGGCAGCTATGTAATGTCCCAAAATTCAAGACCAAAATTTTCATTTTAATAATAATAAAACCATATTTCAAAACGTATTCATAAAACCACAATAAAATCGGAGTATAACCAAAACATCCGAATACATCATAGTCAAATAAAATGCGGAACAATATGGGGTGTGTATGTGTGATGCGATCACCCCGAGCTCTTCCCCTTCGATCTGGATATACCTGAAACATAAACTGAAAACCGTAAACACGAAGTTCCCCAAAATACATCATACCATACACATATCAAACACATAATGGGCCCCACCCGACATCCCCCCCCCCCCCCGAATAGGATCTATCAGTAAATAATGGGCCCTTCCCGTCATCGGGCCCCACCCATAATACATACAAACACCTAAACACATGCAAGAATCACAAAGATAGATAGCATACAAGATAGTCATCAGGCCCTGCCTGGCATACATAACGTATATCATACATGCAGTGTCACACATACAACTAGCATCCTAAACATAATAACCCATGGGCCGGTATTGGTGCCTTCGACCCGCCAAACACAGTGAGGAAACTCACCTCAATCCGCTGATAATCAAATACCCATCGGGTCGCTGAACCAGATAATCTTGCACCAACTAACAAATAATACAACCTTAATTATTAAATAATCCAAAGTCTAAAATCCAAGGCCCAATCTATAATCCATCTTACTAAAGGGTAAAAGACCATTTTACCCTTCCCAAAACTGGTCCAACATCTCATGGCCTAATCCCTAAAAGGTGAGGGCACTTATAGAAGCTAAGTTATAACCTAGTAAAAACTTGGAAACAGATAGAAATAATGGATGGTGTACTTAGATTTCACATTGATATGTGAATTCTATAACTACTTAACTGTAGAGACTACCTATATTCGGGTCACTCTTTGACTCAAACACCTTTTCATGAATCATATACACACATTATGCACTTTACCTAGTAGTAGAAATTAGGTTGGAGCCTCATAGAAACTTAAGTCAAAGTTGAAAACTAGGACTAGTATACTTGATTCCTCAATTTCGCTTGAATCTCGAAACCACTACATAGAATGCCAATAAACCGATAAAATAAGTTACAAATATTATTTATAACTATAAAAGAGTTATAATACCATAAGATAAATTGAAGTCTCAAAGATTCTATTGATTTTGATATCTAAAGATTTACAAACTCTCAAAAACCCTAAATGCCCCAAAAACCTAAATTTATTAAATTTAACCCTAAAAATTCTATAAAATAGTTATGAACCTTATAATTTGATTTTATAATAATTAAAATTATGAAAATGCATTCAAGGAAAAAAAAAATTTAAGTCATTAACATTCACACTTAATTTATAAGTCAAAAAATCAAGGTTTCATGAATAAAAAGTAGGTTAGGGTGTATATTTTATAAAAAGATTAACATTTTTACAAAAGAATTGAAATTTTTATAAAAGTAAAAGAGAAAGAGGGTTTTATACCTCAAAAATTCGGATCCCTCTCTCCCCATATCTCTCTCTCACACTCAAAAGGCACACACTACTCATTTTCACTCACTCTTCACTCCACCTCTTTACATCCTTCAAGAACAAGTTTTTCTCTCAAACTCTCTCTTCCTCTCTCTATACCCACGAAATGTTATAGAAAAATGGCCCCAAGAACACACCTTAAACTCTAAATATTCATCATTTGAAGTAATCTTGAAGGTAATCCCGAATTTTCTTTCATTCTACTTCACTTTTCCTTCATGTTTTGCTATTTTCTTCCACTTTCTCCTTCTTCTACTCCATTCTATGGTGAAATCATGAACACTTGCTCATACTCACGGTTTTGATGATGATGGTGATAGGATTTCACCCAAAAAAACAACATGCATGTTGTAAATGGTGAAATCCAAGGACCAAAACCTAAGTTAAAATCAACATAATGCACTTTTCTACAAGTTTTGGGTACAAATCACCACATGCACCCTAAGCTTTCTATCAAAAACGATTTTTGAACATTTAAAACTCATTAATGGTCTTCAAAACAACATGCATGTGATGATCTTCAAGCTTAGATGCTTGATGATCAAAGTTTGTTGTTAAAAGCTTTCAAATATGTTCATAAAGGATTTATTCCCAAATAAATATCTAAAACAACTTTTCTGATCACATCCGATGTTTCCCAGTATTTCCATAACAAAATGAGATGTTCTACAAATTTTCAGAAAATAATTCATTTTTATCGAATTATTATAATTATTGCAAGAAAATAGGGCAATAATTAATATAAAACACTTTCTGAGGTCTATAAATCCTAGGTAAATTCTTGGACGACCCTTAACGTTAATGATGGCATCTCAGTGAGTTTCATCGTTATTTGTTACTGTTTGCTATGGTTTTGAATTTTCTA